CACAGTCGCAGGGGTGGTTAGGCCTGTGGTTTCAGGGCAGAACTGCCAGCCTTTTGAACGCAGGGACATTGTGCCCTTGCCTGTTGTGTCATGGCAGTCCTGGGCTTTTTCCTGGCCAGCTTAAGTAGTTTTACCACTTCTGGGAGATGGGAAAATGTGACTGCGTTCACAAGAGGGAAGGTTGCACAGATGTCTGTGGTTTCACCGTGGCTGGTGTGTTTGTTGGGCTTTGTATGTGAAATGGCATTTGGCAGACTGTGGGTCTGCAATGTGGGGCTGGCGCCTGAGGGGTGGACTGCCTCTCTCCCTCTCTTCCTTTTCAGCAATGGAGCAAGTCTGAAGGCAACAGCCCCTGCATGTGGTGGCTGCAGAAGTATTTTGCTTTGGGACCCATAATGGTCTGAGATCTACTTCTCATATGCAGGCTGGAAGTTGGCTGTGCACAGGTAACATCCACTGGAACATCTTTGGGGTCCAACTGTACCAGGGTCCACCACCTACAGCCTCTCTGGAGACATCCTGACAGGACAGTGATTATTATGACCTGTCCTGTCCACAATGCCCAGATAACAAGGCTGCCTCATGCAGTCCCATTCACGTAAACTTGAAGGAACAACTTTTCCTGGGTCCTTCTGGACATAGACCTAGTGGAAGGTAGGTAACCATGACCCTGTGGTCCTCTGCAACCTCAGGGGTCATTCTGTTTGGTCTCATTTCTTTAAATTACTAACCTAAAGAACAACTCTAAGGTTTCAGTCTCACAATTCAATGTTAAAAGTAATGTTGCAAAGCTGGCCTGGTCTGCTTACCCTAGATCTGATTTTGTTGTGTCAGAGGTAACTGAGTGGCAAACTAAAGACTAAGCATACAGTGAAGTTTCAGGGAGAAACAAGCTGCTGGAAACATGAACCACACAGAAAATATTGGTCTTGTCTCATTTTCAAGGTCCTTTCTCCTTCCAATTAATGGGAATTTTTGCTAAAGTTTTTAATGAGAAATATCAGATCCTTATTTAATGGGGATTTCTGAACTTGTGAAATGCATACAGGAAGTGTTCCTGCAGTCGGTAAGGGTTCTTACAACCATTCTTCATGTGGTAGAGGAGAAGGAAGTTTTCTACCATACATGCAGGAATGTTTCTCAACAAAGGAGTTTCCCCAGCCACACTGCCAGCAGAGAGTCTCTTCAGAGGATAGGGCATGGGGCTCCACCATGTGTGCTTCTGCTCCCTGCTGATGGGAAAGGGAGATAGACAAGCATGTTTAACACACTCTGTAGTATGTAGATGCTTTTGTTTTATTAACTTGCATTACTGCAGCACTTTCGGGACCCAGACATGAACATGAACCCAGCTGTGCCACATTTTCTCTGAAAGCAGAAGAAGAGATAAACCTTTCCTGAGGAGGTTGTGGCTCTTTCAAATATACAGTGAGGAGCTTGAGATTTTGCTTGAGGAGTATGTGGGTGGATAGCCAACACCTGCACGCTGTCTTCTATTGGTTAGTTTAATGCCTGTGATCAAAGTGTCCACAATGCTTTTAGGATAACTTAAGTGTGAAATGCCTGCTGGTAGCCTGGAGTTGAGGATGCTTGACCATGCCCTAGCTGCTGCATTAGGTTGCTCCAAGGAGAGCCTGGTCTGGAGCCAGTTCTGTGCAATAAATGACTTTCTGGTATGGAAAAGAAATAACTGAGATGCGGTAGACATTTACAAACCCTAGACTGACACAGGGTGTGGGGGGAAAGGAATCAACTATTCACCATCTACTGACTTTGTTAGAGGTAGTTGAGAAGTAAATGGAGAATAGGAAGAAAGTGCTTGAGATCCTCAATTGAAAAGAGGTCAAATCAAATTTCTCCTGAAATCCTCTCAGATGGGATCTGAGCAGGCAGGGTGGGGCTGTTTGTTCCGTCTGTGTGATTTTGTGACTAGGCATATTCTGGACCTGCTCCAGATATACTGAATGGCATCAGTTTTTGGCAGCTAACCTGTGAAGGGTGGTAATTCTTAGCAGTGGCTTTCAGAGGCTGGAAGGAGGTGTCAGGAGACCTCTCTGTAACTTCTCTGCTTCCTGTGCTGTAACCTCAAGCACCTGCTGATGGCTATGGTCGACAGTAGGATACTGGCATGGACGGACCTCTGGTCTGAACCCTGCGGGGCTCTCCTGTCGACACGGTAAGAAGATAAAATGGACAACTTCCCAGCTGAGAGGTGCAGCAGCCTGGGCTGGGCCTTCCATGGCTCCAGCTCATGGGAGCACATTGATCCAGCAGGGTGAAGGGAATGCACAAACCAGATGCTGATGCTGACCTCATTTTCTGGATAAATATTTATGTTTTCTGACTGCATGCTACTGTACTTCTGGGCAATACTATGGAAATTAAGAAAAGAAAGAAATAATCCACACACAGACTCAGTCCAGTTCTTACTAATGCAGTTGATAACTAAAAAAACCAAACCAAAACCAAAACCCAAAAACAAAGAAGAAACCCTGTCTGTTTCAGGAAGTGTAGATGGATTTGGGTAGATTTATGCATTTATACACCATGGCCAAAATACAGTTATCTTTAAAAAAGCAGTGGTGCTCCTCACTGTGAATCCTCTTCAGCCCTTCCATCACAAGGAAATTTTCATGAAGCGCTGGACATTGTATACCTTCAAGGGTATATGCTGAATATCAACACTGGCCCCGCATGTCCTTGTCTCCTTAGTTACCTGCCACTTCAACAGTAGTATTTCCCTCTGTCACCCTGAGAACAGGGTGGTGTGACAACCTCCCCCCAGAACTTGCTGAAGACTTTTTAAATCAATGGCAGAGTTTTGATTGAGAAGGAAACCTCTGGGGGAGGAGATAAATGTCTTCATGCAGCTGAGATGTGGGGGATTTCCAGCAGAGGAACCTCAGGGTGTGCTGGTTGAGCTGTCACTAGAGATAACTGCTACCAGCTCTGGAGGTTCTCTATGTTCTGGAGAAAACCCTAGGAGTGGGTCGGTGTCCTTACCTTGGTCAGGGACCTCCCAAGCAGCAAGTCTTGACTCTTCACAGCTCACCCTGTTAAGCCTGGCTGTTGAGCAATGCCTGTCCTCCACCGA